TATATATATTTCCCTCCATATCCAAGAGTTCTGCTCTATGGATCCAACTGACTGTATAAAAAAAAAATATTTGGAAAAAAGTTGCCTTTGTACTAAACTTGCAGATTTTTTCCTTGCCATTATTCCCTAGAGAGTACAGTATAATGATTACTACATTGTACTAGGAATATATGGTCATCTACAGATGATTTAATGTATACAGGAGGATGTATGTAGGTCTTTTGCAAATACTATACCATTTCATATAAGGGACTTAAGGGTTTCCCTGTCTGTGGAGGTCCTGGAACCCATCTCACATGATACTGAGGAATAACTGTATAATATATACACATTGTATATATTTTGGTATGTGTGTTATAAAGTTTTACCTTATTATTATTCCCTTACTATTCACTAGTTGACCCCTTTCCCTCCTATGACGTGCTGGCCATATGGAGGGTTGAGAAGCAGGGGTCACTTTGTCTTTCCTCAGTTACCTGGATTTTACCCGAGAAGCAAGGTGGACCAGGGCTGATCCCAGAGTCCAGGAATGAGTAGGCAGTAAGGGCTGCTGAGCAAATAATACCCTTTAAAAATACTCAGCTCACCTTTCCCACTTCTGTCTTCCCACCTGAGCTGGGTGCCTCCTCCTGCCTTTGTTTTTGGCTTCCTGAGTGCTGAGATCATTTTTGTATGTGTCTTTTCCTTGCTGGACAATGGGCAGCCCCAGGCTGGGGTGCTATGCTGCTCATTTTATTGTCCCCAATGCCCCACATAGGCTTGGCATAGCGTGGATCCTCTAAAAAGAGGAGGGAGGGAGAGAGGTAGTTGCTCAGAGCACCCCAACTCTCCAAGGGTTTTGTGGGTTTGTAGTAGCAAGTCAATTACTTCTTCCTCTAGAGAGTCCTGGGGGAGAGGCCACTGGCAGGTCCATTTTGGAGTGAGGAAGCCTTATGTGACTGCTCCCAATTGTCCTCTGAGGTTACTAGTAGTGCAGGGATTTGAATCTGGGCATGGAGGCAGGGCCGCACTATTTCTTTTCATGATTTTTGGTTTTTGAGACAGTCTCACTATGTAGTTGAGACTGACCTGGAACTCACTACGTAGCCCAGGCTGGTCTCCAATTCACAGTGATCCTCCTGCCTCAGCCTCCTGAGTGCTGGTATTACAGGCATGCACCACCATGCCTGGCGTTTTTTTGATTTTATTTTGTTTGTTTTTTGTTGACTATTTCTTTTTACACTGCGAACCATGTGCTTTTTACCTTTTTAATGCTGCAAGCACTCTACACTGTTAAATTCTCTTTGAAAGTTATTGAATTTTGCTTCAACTATTCTCTTTTGTTAATCGGCCTCAATTTGCAGGCCTATTATGTGATACCATGATATGGGTTTTGTCCATGGTTCTCTCTCTAAGAGAGAGGCCATAGAAACTAGTATTTCTGTTGCCTAAGGCACAGTCATAGAAACTAATCTTTCCCCTTACTGTCTTGAAGTGGGCCTTTAAAGAAATTGATAGCAGGTCTTTCAACCCTAGTTCAGAAGCATCCTGCTCCATACCTGGGCAGAAGGAAGGCTACACAGAGATC